ATCATTACACTCCTTGAAATGTACATTTTGGTTGACATGACAAGAATTCCATCCATTTCAGAAATATTTTTTGAATTAAATTATAAAGGAGATAACATGTACATATATAAATAATTTTTACAAAAATAAATTAAAATACAATATTTTTTATCGGAACTCAAGAAATTAAATCAATTAAATACATTTACTCTTTTGAAGGAAATTGAAATTAGTTAAAATCAATAACTCAGGTGAGACATTTGTCTAATATGCAACCAGGGTCTTTCAAATAGATTTGAAAGACCCTGATGCAACAGATAGTAGTTTCATTTGCTTTAATGTTCAAGTTTTGCGCCTGACCTTGTGTAAAGCCCTTCTCACACAGAACACACAGCTTATACGGTTGGCCACTCAATTGTAAACCGTACATATGACCGAACCAACCGAGGCCATTCAAGTGTATCAGTGTAAGCTGTGTATGATTTTTGAAAATATTAAAACAATTATATGGGTGTCACATAAGCCACTGTACAAGATCGTAATAGCCCGTATGAGATTCAGTATATACAACCGTATTTGAAGTCAACTCAAATCGTATACAAATCGCATGGAATCGTTCAAGACCGTCCCAAAGTCCTAAATCCTGTTCCAACACCAGATAAACACCCAAATGTCACATGATCACGGTGCGATTTACACCAGTGCACATATGATTTCAAACTATCACCATATGACCTGAATACGGTTCAAGTAGGAAACATACATGGCAGACACGGTATAGTACGAGTATAAACGGCATCACCTTGTATATTCTGTCCTACATAGCCTCTACGTCGGCACGAACTGTACAACGAAAGCCACAACTACCTGCGCAGTCACCCTCAACTGCTAGATCTACCAAGAGTACTTGTTGCATCAACCTAGAATGCATCCAAAGAAAAAGGTTCCCACGCACAGAAAGAATACAAGGGCCATCAAGGCCCACCGATCACTTCAGCCTGCTGACGGTGAAAACTGTCGAGCCTGGTGAGCTAACTGAGCTGGGGTAAACAACAATGTCTATTAATCTTATCATGATTTCTAATTCTCTTATCCTGTCATCTGTTGCATTGTTTTATATAACAGTTATTCGCAGATATGGGTGTTCCTTTCATTGAATTTTAGTTTGAAAATTTATGAAGCCTGAAGCCATCAAAATGGATCAATTTATATCAAAACATACACAAATATGTAATAATTTGATAAAAACTCTGCAGGCCCTTAAGTTAACCCTATGAAACTCTAGCAAATAAAGTAAAAATCTTGTTTAATTGTATGAGACCGTACTTATAAGACCTTACATGGAGCCTTACAACAATATGTATTCCTATGCAAATCATTTTCAAATCTTACTTGATTGAGTATATCCGTGCTTTATTTGTACATTCTTGTACTACATTTAAGTGTAACTCTTGCCAACTAATCCCAAGGCACAATTGGAGGTGAAAACTCATACCAATCAATCCATGTATAACCAAGTATACCTTACTGGAACCATGTGTGAGACAAGCTAAACACAATTATCTACATGTATTTCAATAATCTCAAATGTACAATTTTTAAAAAATCTTCTTTGCGTACTTAAGTCAGGAAAAGTAGAAGACCCAAAATAACATCAAAACTATGTTAGTCGTCTTTGCTGCAAGAATGCAGCTAGCTCTAGTCAAATTTAATTCAACACAGCCCCATGTCAATTTTGCCAAAAAATTGGTCAATTCGGGCCTACATTATTTCTAGTTGGTCAATGGAGCCCCAAAAAAGATTTTCAAAATAAATTTCATTAAATTTAATCATTATTTTTCAGATGATAGTTTGCTTTTTTTCTTTATAAATGACATATTTATTAAGCGATTATTTCCTTTAATTGTAAATGGGTCCGTCACCGTGATGATTTTGAAAAAAAAATCCAAATTGTGAATTAAAAAAGAAATGAAAATTTATAGAGATCTATACAGTCACACTTTAATCTACTAAACTCACATATGTTATTATCTTTTCTGTTCTATTTCCTTGTAACAGCAAAATATTAATAAAGATTACCACAATGACCCTTTTTCATATATTTCACAAATAATTTAGCCTACCATTCTTATATTTTTAATACTATAAAAAAAGTGAAATATAAGATTTGAAGAATAAATCCTTAAAACCTTTCCTCATCAGGCCATTATGCATTGCTGTTTACTAATTGATTCACTCAACATATCTCCCTCCCTCAAGTAAATATTATATGTATGACAAACACATACTGGGCCAGTGGCAAATATCTCCATCTCAAATAATGTAAATAATATCTAAAGCAAATTTAATTCATAAAGTACATCTTAAATGTTGTTTCCCACCTTTTAACAAAACAAAACTTTCTTCCTTTTGGTGACCCTTTTTTATTTATAAAAAGCGGCATCGCGAAATTGTGTGACAAATGAAATTTGTTTTCTGCATTAACATCCAATATTCTAGTTGTTGTTGATTTTAATTATATAACATAAAATAGAATCTTTTTATTTTAGTATTTCATGATTATTTTAAACAAATTCTGGATCATGGCTGCGTCATCGAGATTGTGAGAACCCTGAGTGAATGTTAATTTAATGCCCGAAAGGAAGCTTTTATAACTATAGCTGACAAATAATGTCCATAGGAAATATATATATATTTACCTTATACGTCTGTAATATCTTGTATCTCCGAAATATTAAACTTTTTTCAATAACTATAAAAAAAACACGTTGTCCTTCGAGTTCAATATGGTGGACGTTTCGCGGGACATTCTTACCATAACACCGGTAGCAGGTGCGCGTTTGGATAAAAGTGTGTACGCATCAAAAATTCAGTTAACAGGGACGTGTATAAAACGTCAGTTTAACATGGAAAATTGCACATATTCAAAATTTTCGACTAGCAAACAAAATATGAAGAAAAGAGCATTTTTAAAGGCATTAGGAAAATCACTACACGAGTGTATGTAGTGACTTTCCAAAATGTAGTCAATTTGTTGGTGTGTTTACAGGTCAATGTAGCGAGATTGGACAATAAACACACGCACGCATACATACATACATACACACACACAGGTGAATCGCTATATGCCACCGCATCGCAGATGCTGCGGTGGCATAAAAAGGTTATACAATATTCAAACATAACACACTATTTGAAGGAATGATTACAAGATAATAAATACATAATAACTTAGTATTTTATATACATCTATTTATTGAAAACAAATTTAACAAATATTTTTTACTACACAATAAACACAAGACTGAAACTGTTGTAACCTGCTCAAACGTTTTGTACATTAATGTCTTCTCCATAAAGTTCTAGGTAGCTTATAATCTGCAGTCAAATCTTTATACAATACTGTCAACAAAAGAAAGGTTGAAAATAAACATACAAAATTAGTTCACTTGATCTGCACTGTATTTTAATAAATTAGGTGTAATATTCTAATTAGAACTAGAACTATCACTAAATGTGATTAATACCCCCACAAGACTGCTTCGGAAATGAGGATGTTACTAGTAACAGAATATCTTGTAAAAGAATTGAAATATAGAGTAATGGTTGTGGGCAATTAAAGATAGTTGTGGTTCTTGTATATTGCATTTCCTTTCAATGTGGTTGGCCATTGATGAAGTTTTATTGAATTACTCTGTAATAAGTCCAGAAAGACAAAGAAAAGGAACAAAGAGCAATAACTCTATAAATACTGAAGATGGAGTTATAGTTCTTGTGCACTGCACTTCCTCTTTTTGTGCTTGACCATTGTATGAAGTTGTTTTGAATTTCAACCAGTACGTTTTAAGTTATGCTCCAGACAAGGAAAAGTATCAAAGGGCAGTTACTCTGTATTTTGTCAAAATGGAGTTATGGCTCTTATGCACTGCACTTCCTTTTAATGTCCTTGACAACTGTATGAAGTTGTATTGAATTCCAAACAGTAGTTTTCAAGTTATGATCTGGACAAGGAAAAGTAACAAAGGGCAATAACTCTGTAATTTGTCAAGATGGAGTTATAGTTCTTGTGCACTGCACTTCCTCTCAATGTGCTTGACCATTGTATGAAGTTATATTGAATTCCAACCATTAGTCTTCAAGTTCTCCTAGACAAAAAAAAGCAATGTTAAAGTAACAAAGGGCAGTAACTCTGTAATTAGTCAAGATGGAGTTATGGTTCTTGTGCACTGCACTTACTCTCAATGTGCTTGACCATTGTATGAAGTTATAATGATTTCCAACAATTAGTCTTCAAGTTATACTCCGGACAAAAGAAAGCAATGGAAAAGTAACAAAGGGCAATAACTCTGTAATTACATTAGATAGAGTTATGGTTCTTATGCACTGCACTTCCCCTTACTGTGTTTGACAATTGTATGAAGTTGTTTTGAATTCCAACCAGTAATTTTCAAGTTATGCCCCGGACAAGGAAAAGTAACAAAGGGCAATAACTCTGTAATTAGTCAAGATAGAGTTATGGTTCTTGTACACTGCACTTCCTCTCAATGTGCTTGACCATTGTATGTAGTTATATTGAATTCCAACCATTAGTCTTCAAGTTATGGTCCGGACAAAAGAAAGCAATGGAAAAGTAACAAAGGGCAATAACTCTGTAATTACTTTAGATAGAGTTATGGTTCTTGAGCACTGCACTTCCCCTTATTGTGTTTGACAATTGTATGAAGTTGTTTTTAATTCAAGCCAGTAGTTTTCAAGTTATGCCCCGGACAAGGAAAAGTAACAAAGGGCAATAACTCTGTAATTAGTCAAGATAGAGTTATGGTTCTTAAGCACTGCACTTCCTCTCAATGTGCTTGACCATTGTATGTAGTTATATTTAATTCCAACCATTAGTCTTCAAGTTATGGTCCGGACAAGGAAAATGCAACGGACGTCTGGACCGACCGACCGACCGCCCGACCGACCGACCACCGGGTGACTCCTATATACCCCCCAAAACTTCGTTTTTGGGGGTATAAAAACTTCCCTACACAAAACTATTCTGGTAAACAAAATAAATAAAATCCACTTGTTAGGGCAAATCAAATAGTTAAGTAAAATGTGCTGTTTTTCTACAAATAGTTTCTTAATCACCAGGGCTGCGTTATCACATTTATTTCCTCTTGCCACCACCACCAGCTAATATCATGGCAATTCTTATGAAAATGTTCAAAGTGTCTGCATATATTCCAAGAGATCTGCAAAATAAATTAAAAATCCCTTTATTATACATGAAGATTTAGAAGAAGAAAATTTATATAACATAACCATTTAATGAACAACATACATGTACATATACAAAGTCACATGTAAGTGAATGATTTTGCAGCTCCGTATTAAAAGTGACAGAGTATATTTGTGGTATCGAACAGTCAACTTCATTAAAGTACTGCTTCACTTGATAAACAGGTCTTCAGGCTCAATGACACTATACTCACCTCTGGTCACAAGTCCAACTAGACTTAGACAGGTATACATACACTTATGCTGAAATAACCCCTATAAGCTGAGCACAAAACTGTTACTACTACTTTAACTCTAATCCTGACTTCACAGGCATGTTTCATACAACAGATGCATTCAACAAGGCAATTATGACAGTTTTTATGCGTCAAGAAATGCTTTAAACTAATTTAAATTTTTAATACCATAGAAATTTACCAAGCCATTGTGATATTTTTAATGATTTTGTAAAAATGTTTTAAACTGATTTAAATTTTAGCAACAAAGAAATTTCTTATGAATATCTTTATAAATATATTCAATATTAACTATTTACAAAACTTAAGATATTTGCAGGCCAAGAAAATACAACAATATAAAAACCCTTTATAGTACATGTAACAATAGATGTCAGAAATACAGACACACAATGGTAAATATTTTTCAGTGACTCCTTTATGTTATCACTATATGTAATCACAAGTTTATACATAGCCTACAACCAGATGTAAGAATAAGATGATCACCAATATAACATTGCAATACTTACGCATTTACAGGGTCATATGGCTGCATGGCATAGGGCGGATGTGTTTCAGCTCTTTTCATTATTTTCTGTGTGTCATAAAGGAGGAACATTCCAAAGAGCACAAGACCACCATAAATTGAGATAGAATACAGGCCTGCACCGAGGGCTGTTGTTGGTGGCAAGAACATTCCAGCTGATAATATATGATAATCATATATATATATATCTTGTTATAGTGACATATTTTGTACATAAATGAATTTCTATACAGTATTACCACTCCGATCAGTGATAAGCTTTTTAATCAAGTCAAAACAAATGACAGCATTTTAATCAAATCAAAACAAATGCTGCTTAAAGTGAATTGATCAATTATTGAAAGTGTGTAATACCATGACTAATTATGTTGATAGTGAAGTATAATAACAAATCAAGAAAGAATTATAGATGGATGTTTAAGTTGCTAAATATGACATACATGATCCGATATTATATATCTATATATAATAAAATGTTTTATATCAAAATATTATTTTCATTGTATGTATGTCCATACTGGATCATTATGAACATTATCAATATATATTTTAAAGAAAAATTGTATAAGAATATCCAAATGATAATTTCTATTGGTTGTATCAATATTTGAAATACTTATGGACAAAGTACCCATTGTAGACCAATTTTAAGTCTTTCATGGTAAAAACAAGAAAAACTATGGTTTCATGTCAATATTTTTTTTAGGTTAGGAATATATGTTTTTCATGTATGGACATTTATTCTGTCCATAAAATGTCCATAAAATTACTTTACATTGAGATACATTTTAAAGAACAGACTTTTACATGATTGTAAGGGCACTGTATGATTTTCTAGCATTAAAGTGTTACATTTGGCCAAATAATGTCAACTCACCAATGGAAGAAGCAAAAACAAGTCCAAACCCACAGGCTAGAGGACCTCCAATGTTCAAGAATTTCTCACTTGGTGCACACATAGCTACAGTTGATAAACCTAGGGGAAATAAGTTTAAAAAATCAACACACAATCAATAATAACAAAAAGTCTTGTTATTTTTTCAAAGAAGTATACATCAAAAAGTGCTTACAACTAATAACACCTTTGCATGATTAAACATTGTTATTTTTAATAAACATAAAATCTCCACATTTTATATACCATTAAAAGCATTTGAGAATACAAGTCTACATCTGTGACTTTTTTCTAGTAACTTAAAATTTATAGTTTCATTCTTAAGATATACACCAATATTCCACAGTTTAATTTCCCCATGGATTAAGGGATGAGCAAGTAAAATCATGCCATTTAGGTATACAACAGTAATTTAAATGTTTCAAAAATCGCAAAACTATAATTGATAAAATTTGACCCGGTGTTGATGTTTGTTCCTCTTTCTTTTATTGTTTTTGTAACTATAATAGAATTGAAATTCAAACTTAAAGTGATTCTTTAATTTAAAGAAATGCATAAATATGGTGCACAAGGTTCCCACTATTATTTAGGAGTGAAATTCCAGGTTTTTTCCAGGATTTTTTTTTAAATTCCAGGTTTTTCAATTTGAGAATTCCAGGTTTTTTCCAGACTTCCCACCAGCCCGTAAAGGGTGAAAACATAATATGTCCCGTTTTTCAAACGGGCATATAAAAATATTGTTAATTTTACTTGCACAAATGACAAATCTTAATTGGCCTGTAAGAGTTTTGTCATTTTAATGAAAACAGTATATATTTACAATATTGGCATAAAACTATTAAACATGGGTCAGTCATAACAAAACTTTAATTGTAAATGAGAAACGAGGCAATTATATTAAATTTTCAGCAAAGTAATTACATATGTTTTAGCAGCACCACAAGAAAACCAACAAAGTGCTTGTGTATCCAGACAAGCTTGGCTATCCATGCAGTCACATCAGGATCCATGAAGTTTGCTTTCAGATGTTAAAAATGTTACACAAGCTTTAGGCAGACAGTATGGATCCTTATGAGACTGTGCAGATGTGAAGGACTCATCTGGATCCATGCTTGTCACAAACACACTTTGCTGGTTTTCTCATGGGGTGGCTCATTTATTATAAAAGATGTCATTTTTTGATGCCAGTCAGATCCAAATGTATAAGGTGTAATTTGATTTGTTGATTTTTTTTTCCTATTCCTATTTCTCTGTCTCGCAACTGGCGCAGACGACATATTTGCTGAATCAACTGGACGACTGTGCAGTCAATTCAAGTGCTCCGGAAACACGGAGTGACGGACGTGCTTATTGTTTTTTCGTTCGTTTTCCGTTTTCATTGTTAATTTCTAGCGAGGTTTCAAAGCCATTACGGCATTTGCCTTATAAAAAGCTTAATTTGTTTTGTAAAATGTTCAAAATACCAAGATAGCTTGTTAAAACCATCCTCGGTGGAAGAAAACATCAATAATCCAAACCAGGAAATGGACGTTGCTTCGGCGGCAGCCATATTGTTCAATATCGATTACTTCCCTTAGCGGTAAGGACTAAATCCCGGACTATTCCCGGACTTTTACCGGACGGAGCAAATTCCCGGCGTTTTCACGACCGGGAGCCGCGATTTTGAAAATCACGGACTTTTCTCGTTTTCCCGGTAGCGTGGGAACCCTGGGTGCATATTTGTTCTGAGTTTTGCATCTAATGTACCGGTATCATCCAATATATTTGAGCCGCGTCACGGCAAAACCAACATAAAACGTTTGCAACAAGCATGGATCCAGACCAGCCTGCGCATCCGCGCAGTCTGATCAGGATCCATGCTGTTCGCTTACCAACCTTATTACAAGAAACTTATAGCCAACAGCATGGATCCTGATCAGACTCCGGGATGCGCAGGCTGGTCTGGATCCATGCTGGTTGCAAACGCTTTATGTTGGTTTTGTTGTGATGTGGCTCAATTATTAACTAATATTCGTGTACCTCCCACCACTCCTGCAGTAAGCCAAGCAGCTCGTAGAAGTAATGGGCCACCAAGGTATGTCAGTGGGGCTACAACTGCTCCAAGAACCCCAGCATGTACCATCCAAGCTAGCTGCTTAGCACCAAATCCAGGCTTGTATGGGATTGAATGACACAATATATTTGTACCAATGATTGCAGCTATGGTTCCTCCCATTGCCTGAAAAACAAGGAACAAGTTGTTTTAACTGTCCATATATATACATGTAAATATACACACATATGTACACAAAAGCTGTCTTTTCTGAAGATAAAAATGAATTGGTAATTTTATGCACTTAAATCACTGTCAGATACAAATAACAGGGAGCTTGAAGTGACATGCCCATTATAAAGTGTAACTGGTAGGTGTGCAGGTGTAAGTCAAATAACTTAAATCAGATTTTGCCATAACTGTTTTCAATTTTATATTCTGCATTACTAATGATCAATAACTCCATAAAAACTGTACATACTTTATTGGGAACTTTCTCTTGATAAAAGAGAAAGGCAGTCTTAATAAATTTAAGGCAGATTTTATGCTAATCTTTCAAGTGATTTAATATCAAAACAGAACAAACCAGCAAGGAGTTTCTTGTCATCATACTCATAATTTTTGGGTTCCTACTAACAGCCACTGCGGAGGCTGCAGTAAGGGCAATACCTCCTCCGAAATACATGTATGTAGCTCTTACTCTTGCACGTACATATTCAGGCCACAATCTGAAGGAATAAAAAAATAATAAGTTTTCTCTCTAGAATATGTTGGCCTATGTCCAGCTTTAGACTATAACACTGATCTTTACAAAGCAAATAAAGTATATCAGGGATCAAACAAAAATATTTCAAATTTTTACTTGTCCTGCATGCTATGCTACTCATCCTGTATATTGAGCATGTTTTGTCATGGTCACCGAGTCAATTTTATCATGTTTTAACAATCAAACAAATATACATTATCTTCTCAGTCAAATACATTATAATTTATGATAGGACTTTATTATATTCATTATATACAAAGCTGCGCATATACTTCAAAAACTAAATTTCAATTTTGATAAGAATCCTTTGCAATAAAAATTATTGGGACAATTATATGCAATACTTTTGTATAAATAGATCTATATGATTTGTTTTCTCATTGGCGAAAAAAAAAAGTTGCTTTCAAATACAGTGATTTTCCTGCTTATATAACATACTCCGATAATGGCCTCTTCCCAATTGAAATTTTCATTAAAATCATGCAGTTTTCCCAAATATCTGAACTTAAACCTGCATTTTGACTTCCCAAATAAGCAGTTTTAGCAATAATTTTTCCCAAAATCAAGAGGCTAAGGCCTTTTCCCAATTAAGTGAGAAAAATCACTGAAATAATTGATGACTTTGATTGTTTAATGTTTGTTTAAATGTGAACAAATTTCACATTTAAAATAAAAGAACAGTATCTTATCAGTAATGAAAAGGAATCTGTACACTTTAATATTACATGCTTACACAGAATTTTCTAGGACGCCTGTTTCATTGGATAAGCCCATGCCATAAAATGCAAGCATTCCAAGTCCAACTCCTGATGCTGCTATTAGGAGACCTCTGCCAGCTGTGAAAGCTACAACACACATAAAATAAAAATATTGGTATACACCATTTCAATAAGGCTAGTGATTTAATATACAAAGACATACATATCTAATCTAAATCAGTATAGATCACTGATAAAGTTAAACTTAATCTAGCAGATAAAACTACTGCTTTTATGCTGCTAAAGGGTACAGGTGTAGGTTAATACGCGGAAAGTCCGAGCGGGGCCGAAGGCCCCGCGAGGGCTGTAGCGCTCTTAGATAACATGTATGACGCGTATCAATTCAAATGAATCAAATTAAAATAAATGAAAATTTCAAAAAATATATATCCTATACCTAATGAGCTGTGAAAAAACCTTAGTTAACTGGGCGCCGCCATTTTGAAATCCTTTTGAGCTAAATATAGATATCACAGCGCTTTTAATGAGCGTCTACATAATTCAGACTATTGCTAGCAGACGCATGCTTAATAACACTTCCGGTGAAAGATTGATGTACAAAATCAGAAAATAAACATTCATTTTAATTCATAAGAACTATAGTAACGATGATAAATGTAAAAAGTTACTTTTAAATCCTTTTTGATTAATTAGCACCTTAAAAATAACGTAAAAACAACATATGTGATTAGAGATTAACAGAAAATGGCGGACGGGATTTTCCAAACGCCGGCGCATGCGCAGTGGTCCCTCTTCTGATGATAGATTGAACACCACCAATTTATTCGTTTCTGTTTACGGTACAAATACCTGCATTTACTTATTAACGAATTGCATGATAGATCTGGTTAACATGTACACTAAACATGTTATGCTTAAATCATAAATCATAAGAGCTTTCCGCGCCATAGGTAGCACCTAATTTCATATTATTTGTATAAATACATTTGTTTTATCATAATTCATATGTTTTTTATTTGATTTAACTTAACAATTTTCTCTACCAGACCTTTTGAAACTTGTAATAACCAAAAACATGGTTAAAACAATTGAACTATAAACAAATATAAATTAATGATTTGAAAAATTAAAAATAATATATTCTGAAATTGAAACACATGTATGATAACCCATGGGTGCAAGTTAAAAGTGTCAGAAAACCTGATAAGCTGGAATTTAGTATTATTTCAATTGGTTTAATATAGAAAAGGAGACCTTTAAGGAATATAAAAAACCCTGAACTTCAGGCAGATGCCTGAAAACTTGTACCCATGCATACCTCCTTCTCCTGCGGGAGCCATCAATTTTTCCTTGAATGTCTGGCTCTGTGCATTTTGTCTTCTGGCAAATCTAGAAGATTTGGGCTGTGATGCATATCTCTGAATACGTGTGACATTGTAGCTTCTTAACACTGGCTTTATTGACTGACCCTTGCTCAAACTGGACACAAAAGCTGTCAAGGGCACACAAGAGCCGGAGAGCCTTGCAGCAAACATCTGAATAGGACAATTATAAATGTGTTATAATCTACAACAATTTCAACGATCTAAACAAATATGAACAGAAATTTTTGATAGTTTGAATTTGTAGTGTTTTCTAAATATGCCTTCATAAAACGGGAAACATGTTAACAGGCCAACTTCCTTATAAATAAAATTATGTAACTAACCTCTGAACCTGACTAATTTTCATCGGAAAAGTTGTTACAAAACATAATCAAAACGTCATAACTTCGCTACCTAAATTATACAACGCTGTTAAATATTCAAATACGTGATATAAACAATGTTACCTTTAAAAGTAATGTTCAGTAGCAGTCGAAATGAAAGATAAACGTAAAAAAATACAAATTGCGTCAGTAGTTTTGAAGAGTCTGTTCCAGAAGTTCACGGTGTTGCATAAAATGATCCTTATTGTACAAATATTATTAGGCATAACACAACTAATTTGTAATCTAAAAGCTAGCGGTGTTCAACCTATAAAGGTAAAAATCATATCGTATCGAAATACGGGAGTATACATAAACACATACAATGTAATCACATATATCAACTTGCATATATATAAAAACACACACATAAATGCAACAGAAATAATTATAAGATTAATTAATGAGTTTGTTCTAAGTTACCATAGGATTGCCCATTAAGCTAAAAGCTTATTTCCAATGGGGTCCATTTACTACTAATTATACTTACATAATAATAAATGAATTATAAAGAAGTTAAAATAAATGACAATTTTTGCAAAATTGTTCAACAATCAATACACATTTTTCAATATAATAAGACAAGTACATTGTACACGAACAAAATGAAATAAATTCCGTATAAACTAACAACATTATCAAATATGTAACATAAACATGTTTCAAAACATTATCATAAGTTACACAACAAATTAATAATAAATAAACATATTATTCACTTGTTTGTCATTTTCATTATTTAAAAAAGTTTTACTTTCGTTTTAAATGTTTGGATATTATCAAATGACCTAATGCTGTCTGGTAAAGAATTGCAGTCTTTTATGACATTGTAGAAAAATGTGTTTGTAACATGAGAATCATTTTGAGGCAAAACAAAATTAATGCTTTGTTGTAATAAACTTAATGAACTTTAATCACCCGTTTATCATCAAGAACAAAATTACTATTCAGAACCCGTTTATAGTTTATATCAATTAATAATTTCCCTAATTGTTATTTTACAAAAGGCCAGTGCTTGCGCTTTACATGGTACTGTATGATTCGAATTCAGGTGTTGTATTTCACTTAAGAACGTGAAGCGCATGCATGCACCCATAATACTAACAAAAGTAGAGTTTAAGTAAAAAATGTCAGAATTTCCTCTTCATATCCAAGTGGCATGAATTTACTCCAGATTAATTTATAATATCAAAGTATTGTAGAATGCTTATTGCTTTTTAAGGAACTCCACAAAGGTCCAAAATCCAAAGGCATAAAATTTAAATGTCTTACATAAATCAACTTGGGCGCTTAAAACGGAACGATATGCAAATATAACTAAGAAATATGTCCAGAATTAAAAATCTTATTTGGAGGTTTTTAGACCGACTGAGCTAAAAGCATTTGAAAAAATACCATTGTTAGGTCATTTTGCCTAGGGAAAACGGAGTGAGCGAATGATCAGAAAATTTGAACACAGCTATTTTTCCACACCTACCTAACATGGTACAAAAATCTTGGAAACAAAGCATAACCAATCCTTCAGGTAAAATTCGATTTGGAATTGACAGTCACATGCAAATGTAATTAAGAAATGACCATTGCTTTTTTTTTTACTTTTTTTAAGAGAGCAATTCAGCATTTTCTCAGGCTTCAGAAATTTATGGAGTTGTATTTGTACCGGCCATCAGTTCTGAAGACGAACAAAAATTCAAAATCTATAATGCTGTAATTAAAGCCGTGAAATAATATATATGAAAAATACATGTACACCCCACTGTATCGTGGTATGTTTCATCAAAATTATGTGTAAAAAGTGGCCAAACTAATTCTGGTGAAATTTGAGTGAGATTTCTGAAACCATGATTTTGAAATAAGTTTGAAAAGTGTTGCGTTAGCTAGTTATGTCTTTTATTGTATAGTCAATAGTAACTTTTTGAAATAGTTCTTTAACTTTTTAGTTCAAAACGAGATAGATATATTAGAAAAATATAATCATCTGTATAAAGCAAGGCTTTGACATCAAAACAGAAAATCTGCATGATGCAGACGTCAAAATGTACTCAAAATTATTTATTTGAATATATGATTGCGTCTTAAGTGGTGTTCAGTATAGAGGGGCATAATGAAGGTTTTGAGATTCTCAATTTCCCTTGCACTTACCTCCCTTTCTTTTTTGCTTCAGCACTGCGCGATGAATTACTGCCCTTGCATATTAAAACTCCATTTGTGACACCACATGGCTGTCAATTCGGCGATTTTAGATAAAGGTAAGTCTATTTAACCGTGCGAAGTGTCGCGTGGTTCATGATAATGTTTATCATTCTCTAATATATTATATTGTAAGTCACTATCTAATTACACATATATGTAAGTGAAAACTGGTTGCCCAAATATTTTCATCAGAACATCTCCAAGCAATTATTGATCAAATCTGCAAACTTATTTTCAGTGAGAAATAGTCATAAATGTAAGCAAACTAATTGTATTTGATATCTTGCATTTAATCACTATTTGTTGACATTTTAATGATTACTTTCTGCAAATTTAAATATACATGTGTAATCTAAAGCCTGGCAAGCCAAAGCCCAGGTCCACTTTGCGGTTTTATTTTTCCAAACAGCACATATTGAAATTTTTATTGGTGTATGTGATAATTATATGCACTGGGATTGACATATATACAAATTATTTGGAGCTCCACACCCCAAATAATAGATCTGTGGGTACTAAAGCCAGGTTTTATTTAGAATCAACCTTGTATATGTACTGTTGTGTCAATGCAGTGGTTTTGTTTGGCTCTGAAATAGTATAATGTAAAACTGGCAGTGTCAGAGTCCCTGCGACTCATGTGTGAGAAGGGGGTGTGACAGGTGCATCCTAGTCATAATGTTCTTAAGTCTCAGGCATCAGTTTATTTCAAGAATTATCCCTTTTTGTTGTTAGTAAAAATTTTACAGGCTTATGAATTTTATACTTTATCTTTTTATACATGTTCCTTAACATCATTATGACAAGGTCTTTGACGAGTACACTATTTTTAGAAAATTATCCCCCTTTGAAAATTGTGTGACAATTTAATTTTGTTTTTAATCTGGTGAACTTCTTGGAAAATTATGCAAAAAATATACATTTAGAATTACTTGAATTTCTCAAAATTTAGAAGTATTTTTTTCCCAATTTATGGCTGTTTCCAGAATAACTGGAAAAAGGGCATGGCTCATTACTCTGGCATATGAATTTCATTAATTATTATGCTTATAACTTAAAATTTGAATACAAATTGTAAATGATTTATGCCCCCCGCAGCATGTAGTGCAACCCTGCTGTCATTCTAAGTTCTGTCAAATTTGACATATGGATATGTCAAAGAAATGCGCAGGTCAAGTTCAAATTTGGGCATGGTTTGATGATTTTTGGCAGAGTTATGCCCCTTTCATTTTGAAAAGATAAGAAATTTCAGATTCTGTTCATTATCTGCCCAACATTTGTACACATTCAACTCAAATTTAATATTAGGATATGCCATAGGTTTATGCAGGTCAAGTTTGACTTTGGTCATGGTTCGATAATTTTTGGCAGTTAGGCCCTTTCATTTAAAAAAAAAAAATCATTTTCTTTCCAACAGGTTTACACATTCAACTGAAATTTAACATATGGGCACGCAATAGGAATGTGTAGGTCAACTTCGAATTTGGTCCTGGTTTTATGATTTTTGACAGAGTAATCCCTCTTGAACTCTGAAAAAAACAGAGAAATTTTCAGTTCAGTTTCCGTTTATTATCTCCCCAACAGCTGTACACATTCAAATCAAATTTGACATATGTATACTTAAAAGGAATGCGTTGATCAATTTGGAATTTTGTCATGGTCAATGATTTTTGGCAGAGTTATGCCCCTTTAGCTTTGAAAAAAGAAGAATTTTTCAGTTTCCTTTCACTATCTCCCCAACATTTGTACACATTCAAATTTTGACACATAGATACGTCTTAGGAATGAGCAGGCCTTGTTTGTTTACAAAGTTATCTTTCTCAAACGTTGGAAATTTTTTTTAAATTTTCAGTTTCTATGGAAAGGCATATAGTCATTGAATTGCAATTTGAACTTAGAATGAAAAAAAATAGTTTGTGCAAACAAATTTGGAACTAAATATTATTTTAACATTTGAAAGTTTGGCTGCATTGGGGCATCCGTGGTGTGATGACTAGAGTTGGGTACCGCCAGAAAGAAAATACCACGGTATACCACGGTTTTTTCCTAAAAACCACGGTATAAACCGCGGTATACCACGGATTATCATTGTACGCTATATGTTAATTTTTATCTCTAAAATAAGTATCAAGGTAGGCTGGTATAGAATTTCAAATATCAAAATTAAGCAGATCTATAAAATACAGATTAATCAAAGCATCATTTAACTTTTTTCATAAGGTACTTTCGCATGTTGACAATCATAAATTAATTGGGTCATGGATCAGTTCTTGTTTTTTTTTTTATATTATATATTGGTCTCTTTCAACATTTAACAACTGTTATATAAATTGCATAGTTAAAATGGAAAAATAAAATGTTTTTATTGCTAAAAGTATTGATAAAAATAAAATAATAGGTCAAATGCACGTTAGCCGATGACAAATATTTATTTGTCGGTTAATTTTATAACAGAGTCCCAGCTGCTATTGTAAATTTTTTATTGCAAGTGCTAAGTATTTAATTAATCTGTGTCAGAAACCAAAACAAACATGTACCCAAAAGCAAATTAAAATTATCACATAGAAAACAGCTGACCATGTTACTGCTTAATTAATATTCATTAGTTGAACGAACATTACTTTTAATCCAGTTTCTACGCCGTTCTATAATTAGTTAATTGCCATGCGCATGCAGTAAGTGCGTGACGTAAGGAAAACCCCTAGCCTTATTGGTCGCTATTTATATAAATACTTAAAATAGTAACACCCTAATTTTATGCAAGGAATGCCCTCATGAATTATCAATCTTTACGATTAGTTTTCGTATCAAATAAGCGATATTTGGACAAGTAAATGTAAGTCGACAATTCTTGCTTCTTCAACTGAAATCATGCAAGTCGACAATTCTGGCTTACAAGTTACATGCGGTAATCGATAAAGCATTCAATTTTCGCTAAGAACTATCGAAGAATGATAACAGTCGGCGAAAGTTGTTTGCAAAAAGGTTAACTCAAAGAAACATTGACATATACAACAGAAAAAGTTTTTTAATTTAGTACATTTTACGGATCTG